CCGAATTGTGTCCCATTATGGGAAATGAGCTGGGGGAACTGGTTAGGACCCACTTTTGGGGTTAATTTCGGAATTTCCTACGCGGGTCCCACGATTCCCGTTTTGACTCCAAAATTGACCCGTCTCTGTTTGTTGTGATTTTGGTGTCTAAACGATCGTATTAACGTTGTGATACTATTTTTGATAGCGGGGAAGCGTTTCGAGACCGTTCATAAAGGGAAAGCTCTGAAGGAGTGATTTTGGAGCGCGTGTGATCGGCCTACAGGTAGGCTACGGTTTTCCTCTCTTAGATTGAGCTCGAGAATGTGAATGCATGTTAATTAGTTGGGATTTGGGTTGGGTAGTTATTGAATCTTGCATAGGTGTTAAGAAATCATGTTTTCGGCCTATTTCGGGAATTATCGAGTAACTGTGAGCATGCTTTGTGTTATTAACGGATCCTCCTCGATATGTGGAGTGCTTGCATGCTTAATTATTGTTTGTTTGAAGAATGTTGGGCCTTAGTTTAGGTTTGACTAGGGCTTGCCTTAGAAATACATTATTCGGATCCAATAGGCCTTAGTTTTGCCCCGACGTCGCTCGGCCGGCTTAGATCCCTGTAGACTGGTGTAGCAGACTTGAGTCTGATAGTTTGGGCCTTAGTTAGGCGATACTCTCTCTCCGACTTTAGTTATCCTTATTTTTCCCCGATGTTACGGCTTCACGAGTTACGTCGGCGACACTAATTCTACTTCGCGATTTGAATTTGGTTTTCGATTTGGTTCCAAGGACTTACATTGATTGGCTAAGTATGGACGGCGTTCCATGGACATTTATGAGTGTGGATCGATTAAGACTCTTTCAGCAGCTACATTGGCACTTATATAGAGCATCCGGTTTAAGGTCCGGCCTCTATTTCCCAGATACTTATATAGAGCATCCGGTTTAAGGTCCGGCCTTTATTGCTCAGATACCTTTATAGAGCATCCGGTTAGAGTTCCGACCTCTTATACTTGTTACTTGTGATTGGTTACTTGGGTATTTCTTGTGAGCATCCGGTTCGAGGTCCGGCCTCCGTACTGTCAGATTCTACTAATTAGGGTTGAGGTTCTGGTTCGATGTTCTTCGTTCTTGGGTTCTTTTATACAATTCTCTTTAGTTTTAGTTATTCTGTATACTCGTCGGGCTTATGGGGGTCTGTTCGGGTTTTTATTTAACTTGCGCACGAGTGTACCTTCTGGGCTTATGGGGGCCCAGTTAGGTGTAGTTAGCTTATAGATTACTTTAGTTAGTTCTTGTACACTCGTGTGCATTCCCTTGTTAGTTAGATTTTAGTTCTTGACTTCGGTTTGTGTTATTCCTTCTTTTCATATTGCCTTTACTTTTCAAGTTCAGTCGGCCTATGATGCCTATTGGGTACCTGTTGTTTTGGTACTCATGCTACGCTCTGCATCTATTTCGTGATGCAGGTCCGGGCACTAGTAGCCAGCGTTGATTGAGCTTGGAGCAGACTGATCCGGAGACGGGAGTGAGCACACGACGTTTTGTACTATTTCAGTCTCCATCCGTATATATAGACTTGTCTTTTACCTTTCGAGACAGTCCAGTCTCTGTTGTCTACTTTTGGGACTTGTACTCATTTTGTTAGTAGCTCTGTACTAGTGACTTCCAGGTTCTGGGAGGGATCTTTATTTGTATATATGTTTTTGGTTTGCTTCCGCCTGTTTATATTTTTATTTGTCTACTCTTGTTTAGTTTCTACCCTCAGACCCATTACTTGTTGTTCCGGGTTACGGGTTGGCTTACCTACTGGTGGGTTATAGTAGGTGCCATCATGACTTGAGAAATCGGGTCGTGACAAAATCACACAATAATTAGCAACTTCAAAATTTAAAGGACATACAAAAAATTTGACTAACTCTCAAAATTCTACTAATGTCACATAGTTTGGGATAGAAAAAGTAACATATACGTAAAATGTACTATAACTCATAATAATTAAATAACTTCAAAATCTAAAAGACATATACAAAATTTGCTTGACTTTCGAAATTCTATCAATGACACATAAATTGGGACAAAGAGAATATTGAAAATTACATATAAAGTATTATTAACCACAATAATCAACAGCTTAAAATTTAAAGAACATGCAAAAAAATTGTTTGACCGTTAAAATTTTATTAATGTCACATAAATTAAAATAAATAAATAAAATATATGTTGGGCCCGTGCTAGCACGGGCTACTGTAACTAGTAGTATATATACATTAATATGTTCTACATCTACTCATATAATATTCTATTCTAGCAAAAATGTTTAATGGTGGATAGGTGGGACGGAGCCAAGAGTTCACACAATTTTCAACTGAAAAACTACATATAGGTCATATTATTTTTCGTTGCAAATATTACATTTTAAAATAGGAAACGTTAGTATACTACTACTACTAATTATGATCAAACAATTGTGGTGGTATTAGCTTGGATTCATTAAACATCTAGTTTGTTTTTAGGGATATAATAATCCTCAATTAATTGTGTACAATGACAACTGTTTGTTGGAAGTGCTTCATCATTAAATATAAGGTTTAGTTTTAGTATATACTATTTCAATTAATCATGGTCACGACAACAGTGTGATGGTAAAAATCTATTTAGAGAATACAATTTTATTTTCTCTTGGATGGTGAATATATTAAGACACAAACTGACTTATAACAAAAATTGACTGCAAAAAAAAAAAAAAACTTTCAGCTCAATATTTAAGACTTCTTATAGAGTCATTTGATGACTTCTCATGGAAAAACTCCATTTTTCTTGAAGACTGAGTACAACTCCTGCACGCTGCATGCACAAAAGTCGAAAACTAGTTAATAATTACATGTTAAGAGCAAGTTCAATATTTACTATAGATACATTTACACGATGTGATTTTTCGACCAAGGGTACTTTGAATGCTATAATATGTCGACAACTTGCATATGCTAAATTAAGGTCATAAAAACAAGCGCAACGACAAAGGCATAGGCGGCAAATTAGTAATATTATTATATGGAGACCATATATTGGCTTTATATATTTAGGTTAAAAATTGGAATAAAGTGAAAAAGCAACAAACCGATACCTTCGTACAAAATTGAAAGTGATATATGATGGTTTCATTTTCTGCAAGGAAGAATCTTTGATTCTAAAGAAAGAAAAAAAGACAAACAAAAACCAATAAAAAAAAAAGAAAAAGAAAGAAGCAGATACAGTGATGATTATTGGAGGCTAGAATATTCGGTCATACGTATTAATTACACTATTTTTGGCTTACTGTACCAAGAGCAGGAGGATCGGAGAACCTAGGTAAAAATTCAAATAGTCGAGCTACTAAAATTCCTTCAAAAGGATCGGAAAACTTAGATAAAAATTCAGGTAGTCGACCTACTAAGATTCCCCCAAAAATATCAGAGAACCTTGGTAAAGATTTGAAACTACTAAGATTCCCCAAAAAGATCGGAGAACCTACCTAACAATTTAGGTAGTCGAGGAAGTAATAAGATTCCTTCAAAAAAGGATATATATTCTGAATCCATTTGGGTATTTTCTGTCCCTTGGCCCAAAAAAATACTACTACCATTCTGGATCTGTACTAGGCAAAAATGATTTCTCTGACCCGAGCAAGAAAAAAAAAAAGAATTGTATAAGTAGTGAATAAAGAAGAAAACAAATTATTCTTTTGAAACTTTTGGGGGGAATTGATTAAATCATTTTCACAATTTAAAGTTTATGGGTTTTGACAATTGCTCGTTCACCACCGGACCTCGATTCGTTTATATATTATGTTTCTCAGACACATATATATGATTTGGGCTAAAGCTATTACTTATGTCGAAGCCATACCATATATATTGATCGGCCACTTGTGTTTACATTTATAAGTTGTAGCCAAAACAATTGATCACTTGGAACATAATAACATTTCATCAAAATTAGAAGAAGAAAAGCAGGAAGAGGAAGAAAGGATTTGTGCATTGTAAACATGAGAATAATGGATACCATCCCACATCATTTGGGCCTAAAATGGACTAACCTTGGAACTTGGAAGAAACACACACCACTACTACAAATATATACTTGCGTTTGTTATTTTTTACTTGTCAAATATACAAAAAAAATAATCATTCCTATTGCTCGTTTATTTTAGCAAATTGAAAATATTTGTATTCAAAATACTATTAATAAGAATAATTTCATAAAATAAATTGCTAGAGAAGAAGGGATGGAATAATAATCTAGCAAGAAATCTAAACAAATAAAATTGTGTGTACATTATATATTATATATCTTGGTGTAATGTAGTACAAATTCCGACCACAAATTACACTAATTTAGAATAGGTGAGAATTAAGGACTTTTTTGACGTTAGCAAATAAATTTTTCTCAACATGTCCTTGTTTTGGTCCCACTCTTGGCTGTCATTTTTCTACCACATTGGACCACATTTTGGTGTCCATGCACATTTTTATAATTTACTAACCAAAAACATGTTGCATAAATATTGATACATATAGAGAAATGGATACATCATAGTTAGATTAATGAAAAAAAATAAAAATTCATGTGTAGAAGTCAATACCCGAACCATACAAATTTCTTGCGTGAATAGAATAAAATGATCAAGTCATGAATCACTTCCTAACAAAAGAAAAAAAACATGTATGGTTCGTTCTTGACTCCGTAACATAAAAAGGACGATTCAATCCAATCCAATGCACTAGGAATAATTAAGAAAAAAGGGGGAAACTAGCTATGAGTTGTTAAAACTTGTAATAAAACTTTTGACAGTGGGCATATGGATGTATTAAGGCATTGTGTCAGTTCCAGGACTATATATTGATGAAAGAAAAGAAGCATAGCATTCATAATTCTCAACTAACTTCAAATAAGGTCTTTTTTTTTTTCTCCTCATTGAATTCATGATCCAACTTCTCATCTGTACGGTGTATTTAAAGCAGGCAGCAGGCAGGAGCAGGAGCAGGAGCAGGAGCGGAATTAAATTCAAAATTTTGGATCAGGAAGTGGAGCAATTCAAGGCAGCTTTAATTTGGTGGATAGTGTTGCCTATTAGGTTATTAACTGTGTTTACTGATTCTGGGCTCATTTTGGCTGATGATGACAAACTGCTTACCAATATCTGGAACACTACTGTCACTAGTGACCCCCCTGCCGCTGCTCCTCTCATGGTACTACCATTATTCATCGATAATGCCTCGTTGGACCCTCGTCCGTCTTGTGAAATTGTGAAACCTGAGGGGAGCAAAGGGATGTAGGTGGTGTCTTCACCACTCATTGCAATGTTGATGGATTGTAAATCAACAGGACTGTAGACTACTAGTGAACCTGATGAGTCTATGCAACTCTCTTGAAGTATCAACATGTTATTCTGGCTAGTGTTATAGGCCTGCAACAATGTAACGTTGTCCTCGTTATCAAAATGTTAAATACACTACTCCGTCTGTTTCAATTTGTTTGTCTAGTTTTGATTTGACAAAGAGTTTAAGAAAGTAAAAAAAACTTTTAAAGACCATAAATTGAAACAAACTAAAATGGAATGCAGCACAAACAAATTGAAACGGGGGAGTATATGATTGGATTATGGAAATTTACCCTGAGCACAGAAATAGAATTCCCTGGGTGAGAGCCATTTGCAATGTGAGCTACCTCTTGTACTGGATTTTGGTTGGAAAGAACATCCCACTGTGTCAAAAGAAAAAAATTGAATTAGAACAAGGCAAAATACATACACTTTTTGGTTTCCCATCCGGTATCTAGTACCCCCAACTAAATCCAGATTCGCGTTGGAAAATCCCTAACAAAGGCGACTCCATACCCAAGGGGGAAGAAACAATCTATAATGTACTACAAAATGAACGAAAAATGGCCTTCATTGAAATTTTAGAAGCTTAGTAAATTTATGCACACCTGAGGTCGAGTCCTTTCGTCCCTAAGGAAATTGAAAACATGTTGTGGAGGAACTGGGAGCCAAATAGTGGAAGCTGCACTGATGACTACACCATTGGGCTGGCCAGGATCTGTGCACTTTTGAAGGGTGGCTCTAACTTCAAATTCATCCAATGTAGAAATGTTGTTCCACTGGTGTCCATTGGACGGATTTATGCTGGCACAGAAACTGCTCACCATTCTTCGAGCCACTTTCATCATGCTTTTCTTCCCTTCTGGTGACGGAATCACTGCCACCATTGCATCACACGTGAATTAGTTTCAACCAAATCAAGTATTTAAGCACTTATATTTGCAAGTATAGTTAGTCTCAAGCTCGAATATAAGAGTAGGGCAGTTGATTGATTGATTAAACAGGTATTGGATGCAATAGTATTAATTAGTGAAAAACATATGTCCCATTGAGTATATATACCTCCTCCAAGTTCACGAGAAGAGTTGCCGCTAACCATTAAACAAGCATATCTCTCACACAATCTCTGAAGAGAACCAAGCCATCTCTCTGCTCCAAATGCCATACCACTATATATAAGATCTCTATATAGCCTATGAATTGAACCTTTCTCTTCCACTTCAACATGTTCCACCAAGTTACCTATACCACAATAGAATTAACAAATTAGATATAGTAAGTACTACTACAAATGTGGTATTATAGAGCTTATTAGTGCCATTTCGACAACCTTGGAATAACCATTGGGCATGTCTTGTATCAAGCATCCAGATGGGAGCTTATGAACCTTGCAAGAAGAGGGAGGGTACATATTTTCTTGAGTAATATCATATGAAACATCAACAATTGCCCATGAGCCCGTCTCAATCTGCTGGCAAAACCGTAGGAAGTAGAATTGTCGTGTTAGGACTAATGGTGAAAGCACTTGCTGTTCTTCATACATCTGCAAGAAGCATGACTGATTTCAGCCTCTACAACAATATGAATATAACTTCAAGGAAAAAATGAAGTTAATACTACATTTCTTTACCAATTGTAATGTACTACTCCGACTGCCCATCATGCCACATGATATTACTTCAAGTGTTCTTGCCTTTGAAACAATTGTAGGAAAGAATTCCACCCATTTATTCTACAAAATTACGAGAACAGATCAAACTTTTCACTATCAGGTTACTTAAATGCTAAAATAAAGACAATGTGAGTGAGAAGATAAACTAACCACATCCATGAACATGTCGACTAAGGCCAAACCATTCATGATCACAACACCTGATTGCCTGGAAGCCTCAACACGAACATTTGGATTTTTCAACGAACTGTTAGCCTTTGGAAAAATTTGGTCATAGCTATCGATGTCAAGTACATCTCTGCCATCAGCTGTGGACTTTGTCCACAAAGGTTCGTTAGTTTGTAAAAGCCTAATCAGTTCCTCCATGGCATTGCCAGCAATATCAGCCATAAGGGACTTATCCATGTCTGATATGTTCAATGTAGGACATGGTAAATTTGGAAAAGTACTCGTCGAACTTCCAGGGAGAAGATCAAGATCAAGTGAAGGGCCAGTTAGTCCAAAATTAGGCATGGACATTAAGTTAAGTGAGGACAAATGAACAGGTTGCACTGGTGGAAGTTGCGAAATAGGCCTCCCCATATACTTTGCAGCAATGCTTGAAATTTTGTCAAGCTACATATGCCAAGAAGAGGAAATAAACATAAAGAAACAGAGAAATAAACGAATAGAAACAAGAATTGATATAAACCTCCTCTTTTAGTTGCAAATTCTCCATTCTCAATTTTTGTTCATCAAAATAAGTGTCTTCAGTAACTGGAGGACCTCCACAAGATGGACATATCACATTCTTGATTGCTTCCCTTATCGCGATGTTTTCACATCGAATTCTATCATTTTCTGATCGAAGTGCACTATTATCTGCTCTCTCATGTTGACTCTACAATCATAAACTTCATGTTTATTACTCCATCAAACTAACACATGAAAATAGTACTTCATTTTAAACAAAACAAATGAAAAAAAAAAAAAACCTTCAATTGAGTCCTCCTATTTTGGAACCAAAACTTTATTTGACGAGGAGCCAAACCCAAATCTCTACTCAACTGCAATCTAATTTTCTCGTCTGGATGTGGACATTCCTTGAACACACTACAATGTATAAACACCAAAAAATATTAGTACTATATTTTGACACTACTATCTAAAATTTTTATCTTTATGAATTCTGAATTTTAGAAAAACGCGAACAATTGGATTCACATATATCACTACATATTGAATTAAAAATTTCTTAACACAAATACTCTAGGTTAAAGCAAAAACTACTCGATTCAGCTAAACCCTTAGGAATTAGAAAATTGAAAAAATAAGACATATTACTAGCTACAACTAGTTAAAACATACGATTTTTTTACACATGACTAGGTAAAGTATATATAAGTTAAAAAAATCATTATATTATTATTCCTTTATAATTAATAATACTCAAAAGAAGTACTTTATATTTCTTACGATTCAAGGCTTTGAATTTGATGAGCTGTATGTCGATGGAAACGTTTCTTCTTCCGGTGAGCATCTGCGGCATCACCGCCACTTGACGAAGCTCCACCACCTCCACCACCACCACCTCCGGTGCCGTATTCCATTGATCTCTTTAATTAATTTCCTTCTATGTATATATATTTGGACAAGGAAAAAATAATTGAATGATAATTAATCACATGTACATATAGATGATTTTTGAGTAAATTAAATAGTTGTTGTAATTGTAATGTAATGATGATAATATTGGGAAGTTTATTATATTATAAGAAGAATGGATGATGTTATAAAGGAAAAAATGAATAGCATATACTAAGGCAAGAATTATGGTTGATGTTGTAAGAAAATTAACGTAACGGACGAAAAATCAGACATATATATAAAAATAATAAATATGAAATATACTGAGCATGAATTGAGAAAGAGGATTTGGTGGAGAAAATTAGAAAATGAGAAACGGATGGAGAGAAATAGAGAGAGAGAGGGGAGGGGGAGGGGAAGGTGGGAAGTAATTAATGAAGGGGGATTGGAAAATGTGGGAGAAAGAAATGCATAGCAATAGGCTATAGGAGGGAGGGAAGACAAAAAAACACATTTTTGGGAGAATCATGATAAAAATACCAATACAAGCGCTCTTCGTAAATGACGCTAAATACATGTAATTACTCAGTTCGTTAGTGATATTGTTTGTTCTTGGCCTAGACTCGTGTCATTAATGTATAAGACTTGTTTACTTATAACACACTTATGTGCTTTTGTCGATATGAATTTCTTATTTTAAGATGGGTGTCACGTTTTTTTAGAGTTACGTAATTACTAGTGACAATTACATTTTAGCACTTTTTGTAAATGCTGCTAAAATCTATAGCGATATTGGATCTAATGAGAATTAACTAAGGTTTAGTAGTTTTTGTTAATCTGCATATTTATTTATGCTAAAAATTATTTTTGTTGTAGTATTGTTTAGAGATCTATTTTTTTTAAAATTAGATTTAATAATGGTTAAATTGAATGATAATAATATATACGAATGAATTAATAGTTAGTTGATGGAATTTATATCTCAATTTAAAGATAGGTGATAAGAACTTTTTGTCTAATTATTTTAAAAATATACTTTTTATTTGTTATGTTATATATAATCAATAGTTATAATATATAATAAAAAATTATAAAATATTTAAATAAATTATAAGAAAACAAATTAAAATTTAAATCCAATTAAAAATTGAATGAATGGAATTATGCTCGATAATTAAATTTTGTTTTCGCTTCATAAAATATTTATATCGTAGGCTTGGGCTTTGCCACCTTTTATCCTCCGCCTTTCTTACGGTTCCATTAGAAAAAAAGATAATTCAAATGACAATAGTCACTTTAACTATAATGAATTCGATAGAATTTAGTAAGTTTCATTCAAATTCTGTATTTTATTAAAGAGAATTATTTAATATATATATAAAAACTTTGTAATTCTTAACTCTCAAAAATCAAAGAATTTTAATTTTTAAATTCACCCCGCTAAAAGAGTTCAAATGTCTCTCGAAGAAAATAGATAGAAAAAAATAAACAGAAGAAAACATCCCTTAGCCATTTTATTGGTTAATCTTTTTTTTTCTTAGTTGGTGTTTGGTATTCATATTATATTGGAGTCCGCCTATATTCGGATTCGCATCGGGAAATTCCACATAAAACACTCCTTAGTCATTTTATTGGTTATTTTTTTTCCTACCTGATATTCGGTACTTACATTACATTAGAGATTTAGAGCCCGACTAAATTCGGATTCACGCCGGATAGGTCCACATTGGGTAAGAAAACATCCCTTAGCCATTTTATTCGTTAACTTTTTCTTTGTACTCACATTAGAGTCTGACTAAATTTGAATTCAGAAAATCCCACATTGGGGTAAAACGCTTCCTAGGTGACTCGAATCTGAGGCCTCTTGATTAAGGATGAGAGAGTACTTACCGCTCTATAACAAATTCACAACCTTTATTAGTATTGGTTAGTCTTATTATAATTTGTCAGCACTCTACTTCCTCTTCCAAATATATATTAGTCGTGACTTCGTGTTAGTCAAATAAAATAGTTTAATATTTGACGTTTTTTTAAAAAGATACTCTTTATTGGTTTTTCAAATCCCACCCTTTATTTACTACTATAATTAGTACAAAGTGAGACGTTTAAGGGAAAAAAATAGTCTTAGTATATACTATATTATACTTAAAAATATTTAGTATCTTTCTTAAGTAGCACACAAAAACATTTAGAGAATATATAAGTTATAAGTAAGTGGACAATGAAGTAGCAAAAATGAAGTTAGAATTTTGACTTCACGAGTTTTATATTTTAGAAAAATTAATTTATTAATTTTTAAATTTATATATATATATATATATATATATATATATATATATTAGGTGGATTTTTTTATACAAAATTTAAATTTACATTACTAAATTTTACTGAATTTATAGACAAGCTTATAGCTCTGCTCATGTGAAATGAGTATTATTTTTAATTTTCGATCGATAACATTGTAGAAACAAAGGATTAAGGAACTACATTATGGTGTATTTGGTATGGAGTTCAATTTTTCATGTTTAATTGGTCAAAATATATTTTTTTAGGAAAATAAATTCTTTAGAAAATTAGGAAAATATCAAAAGTAGGAAAAATAAGTTTCATAATTAATGCTTACCACCCACAAACCACCACTTAGCACATCATAGTATTTTCTTAAATAATTTACATATAATTGTATTTAGAAGAATATCTTTTCTCAAAAATAAGTAACTACCCCCCCTCCAACCCACCCACCCCACCCACAAACCCAAAGTACCAGGCTGACTTGGTCAATAAGCAAAATTATGTGTGACTTCATTAAAATTCCAACTGCAAGCTTTACCAGATACCAATATTTTAGGGGTGGCGAACGGCCCAAATTTGAACATTTCTCCATTCCATCTTTTTATAAAGAGATAATGGACTCTTTAACTTGACTTCTACATATAACTATGTCGTCCAATTTTGAGTGTGCACAAGTAAACACAAATTGTATAAAATTAAACAAGTAGACACACGTGTCCTACATGACATAATATACGTAGGATGCAGAGGCGTATCCAGGATTTCGGCTAGATGGGTGCACGATTATGAAGAAATGTATCTTAAATATAAATTTGATCTTTTGACTTTTAGGTTCTAAATATGAACCATTAAATTTTAAAAACTATAGATCCAAAATATATAATACAATTAGTTTTAAATTTTAATATACACATTTGATTTAATTAGATAAAAAAATTATAGTGCTAAATTTTTTAGGAATTTTCAATGTAAGACACTTGGAAATTTTGAAAGATTAAAGGAATTTTGAAAGATTAAAGGCAAAAATACAAAAGAAAAATTAGTTGAAAAGTCAAAAGTGTCACCGATAACCACTTGAGTGGTGTTACTCAAAAAGACAAGATAAATATAAGATTTAAATTTCTATCCTCACTTAGAGAGGTGCACCTAATCATCATCGTATTATTATATGATACTTTGAACATGGGTTCACACATCTATATTTAAATATTTTTTTAAAAATATAACACTACTATATATAATCTAGAGAGGGGAGCATGGGTTCACGTGAACCCACGGCACCCCCTCTAGATACACCTCTGGTAGGATGCCACGTAAGACACAAAATTATCATGTAAGGTGCCATGTAGGACGAATGTGTCTATTTGTTCAATTTTTTACAAGTTTAAGTGTCTACTTGTGCATACCCAAAGTTAGAGGTCATAGTTGCCAGTTGACGCCAAGTTAAGAATCATGTTTATGTATTATGCCTTTTTTAAAAATAATCTAAGATAACTTGATACATTTTCTTAATTTTTCATTTTTAGTTTCAGAAAAATAGTACTATACTCCATATTTCCTTATTATATTTCCTTGTTCACCAAATGATATAGTTGGCTTAGTATAGTATATTTAACACAAAAGAAATGAACACGATATATAGAATATTAACCGTGTTTAATGAGTATTCTTTTATGACCTTTTTATATTTATTATACATTACATTTTATGACCCTGATAAAAAGTAATAATGTCATAAATTAAGTCCCAACCTTGAATAGACGGATGGACTAAGAATTTACTTTCACACTTTACATAAATCAAAGGGCAGATCAGATTATTTTGAGGTTAAAAAGTAATAAAAATCAGCACTACAAGGTCCGTAAACAACACCAAATTAAACAATGTGATTAATCCTATTTTTTCTTTGGGGGTGCATGCATGCATGTGAATTTTTTATATTTTGCACTCAATGTCATATATTAGCCAGTAAGACACATGATCTTATGCACATATATATATATAACTTTTGTCACTTACGGTCCTATGTATTCTAGTTGGAAATTAAAAATGAAATTAATTTTTTACTAACATTAAATTATTTGATTTGGTATAAATTTCGAGTATATATATAATATTTTGTTACGTCCCCGCCCCCCGTTGTCTGGCTGGACCCCGAGAGAGTTAATGTTAGCATATTGACGTGATTTTTCCGGCGAGATTAGAGATTAAATGGCAAAATATATGTCACTTTCATATAATGTTCCAACTATTTATATTGACATTTCAAGAATGAAAAGGTCCCAATTCTTAGAAAGTCAAAAAGCATGGTATCTTTGAGTGAGACTTTTTCTTCTAGTGTTTTCACTTAATTTATTTTAAAATGGTCAAACTACAAAGAATAAAAAAGAAATTAATTGGGGTTTGAAGAATTCAAATATTAATTAACTCACTCATATATAATTAAGAAGAAGATTTAAAGAGAGAATTGTAACTTAAATATCTTGTAGATCTTTTGTAATAATAGCCGATAAATCATTTTCTTATGCAAATGATTTGTTTGTATTAAAGAAAGGTTGATCATAATTCATAAGTGATATGTATTTTAATAACTTTAATTTTGAAGAAATATAAATGGCCTTAAAAGCTCCAATTAAAATGATTTCATGCATGGTTTTTATTGGTTTAATAATTGGAACAGAATTTTATAGGGAGAAATCAATACTATCATCGTCAAAATATTTATTTTGAA